ATACTGTTTATATAAACAGTATATTAATTTACACTATTTATACTAATTATACTATTTAATAAATAATATAATTAGCATAAATAATGAACCAGAAGCAACATTTTAGTGCCATTATATAATAAACTATATATTTTTATCAAATAGGTTGCATGTATGTTTTAAACAAAACACAAATATATCCTTGTTACCAAACATTGTCTAAACCGAAGACAACATTTTGAACGAAGGACATTTACCTGCAATTAGTACAGCCGTGTGGGCCCTCATCTACTCGGCTTCAAAGTTCGCAAATCGTGTAACTGTTTCTTTTTAACTTTTTTAAAAATTTACTTTTTTGTTTTTTTTTTCCAATTTCAAATTAATATTCCAAAATAACCATTAGAGATTTGAACCCTGATTCAGCATCATCTGTTTCTCCCTATCCCTTATAAATATTCACCCCCTCCTCTTCTGAAGTCGCTGTGGTTTCATCTCTCTTCGACCCCCAAGCCCAATTCAGCTCTCTCTCTCTCACTCTCACTTGTCCCTTAGCCATGGATTATTGCAGCAAATCTTCTTGCACTCCAAGCTCTCCTTTTGATTGCCTCCTCTTTGGTACCTTTTCTCCCTATCTTGCTATAGTTCTTCATTCTATTCTGTCCAAGACTCCAAGCTCTCTGATCACATTGTTTTGAATTGTAATTTTTTTAAAACAGATTTGGATGACACTTTGTATTCCTCTAAGCTTGGAATAGCTGAAGCTCTGAGAAAAAATATTGATGGTACATGCCATTTTCCAATTAATCACATTATCAAAATTAAAAAAAAAAAATGATTGATTTTTTTTTTTTAAGAACCGATTGGTATGATCTTTCCTTCTTTGTATGTAGAATTTCTAGTTGAGAAATGTGGATTTCCAGAGAACAAAGCTCCCAGCCACCGAGTTGAGCTCTTCAAGTCCTACGGCAGCTCTCTTGCTGGCTTGCGAGTAATTACTGTGACAGACATAGTATAGTTCGTTCTTTTTTTTCTGCCTTGTTTAATTATTAATGGCTTAAATTTATATTTCAGGCGCTAGGCTATGACATTGATGCTGATGATTATCACAGGTTAGCAAAACCCTGACTCAAATTGTTTAATATCAGATAGACTCCGTTCCCATTTCAGGACAAGAAAAACCTGGACTCAGTTTCTTAACTACGTATATTTACTTATCAACAGTTTCGTGCACGGAAGATTGCCTTATGATTTGATCAAGCCAGATTCCCAATTACGTAACCTCTTGCGTAGCATCACTCAGAGGAAAATTGTAAGCCTCGATAAGAAAACACAAAACAGAGCCACCAATTTAACTACTATTCGTGAATAAAGAAAACCCCTTGTATTCTTGCCCATGCATCCAAGCCAATTAACGAGTTGTTTAATGTTTTTTACTGCAGATCTTCACCAATTCAGATAGAAATCACGCGATCATGGCCCTAAAACGGTTAGGAATAGAAGACTGTTTCGACCAGATCATATGTTTTGAGACGATGAATCCAAACCTGTCTAAATCGACAAGTCCTGATGAGTTCCCTGTTCTTCTAAAGCCTTCAGTAGATGCCATGAAAGTTGCTCTTCGTGTTGCAGATGTTGATCCTCGCCGTACGGTAAGCAACCCTCGCTCAAGGGTTTTGTTTGCTCGATCAGTTTTCTCCCTCCATAAGTTCTTGTTTGGTGCTTAAGAAAATACTGAAACGCGTTTCTGCTGTGTTATGTTGCAGCTGTTTTTGGATGACAACGTGCGCAATGTGGCAGCAGGGAAAGCTTTGGGGCTCTGCACTGCTCTGGTAAATTTACTAATCAATCCCCTTGTAACTGAATCAACGAAAAATTCCACCTACTCCTGTTAAATCCAACTTGTCTTTGGCTGCTGAAATTTAAAACCAAAAATCCGCCCCACCCTTCCAAATTTTTATCATGCAAAAAAAAAAATTGTAAATTTTTAACCACTATAAATCCTGATTTGGGATTGATTTGAGGTAAAATTTGAGTTATGAATATAGAATTAAAAAAGATATATCGAAACTGTTGTTTTAACAGAAAGAAATTCAAATGTGAGTCAGTTTCAACCTGAATTTTTTAATTGAATCAAACTGTCTAAGCCCGAGTTAACCGGTGTAAAATCCTGCCAAGCGAATCCGAGTTTTATAAAACGAGGAAAATGTTCTTCGGCCCGAAAGCTCGAGACCCTTGACTTTGTGGGGTCAACACGTGTCCAGGAAATCAAGTGATTAACCGTGTTTCGCGGCGTGCTATTTCTTTCATTCGCAGAAGGGCAAAGGCAATACCGCAGTAATGCTGACACATTTAAAAATCTAAAAAAATCTGCAATTGAAAAACGAGGAAAACAACATTAGAGCTGTGACAGAGAAGTAATTGGCTGTGCTTTTGTGATTGCTGAATGTGCATTTAAAAATGTTTGGAGTCTAACACCAGTGCTGTGGTACTGTCCTGATGTAATTATTAAGGTTGGAAAAACGGTGAAGAGCAAAGAGGCGGATTATGTATTGGAGCATATCCATAACCTAGCTCAGGTGATTCCAGAAATCTGGGTAGGAGGAACGAAAAGCGGTGATCAGAGGATCAGCCGGCCCGGGAGTGAAATGGATGCCATTCTCGCAGCTACAACCGTCGGGGCCTAAATAAGACAACCAATCAAGACCTCTTTTTTAAAGGACTGGGTTGGTGATCCTTACCTGTCAAATCTATCTTTCATGTGCTGTGCATATGTGTTGTTAATTAATGTATCGTATGCGTGTAAAAGGTTCTTCTGTGTAATTTTCATCCATCCTACTGGTTAGCTCTCATTGTCATCTTTCTAAGCTAAATTAATTGTTTGTGAATTATGGTGTCAATTAAGCTGGCTTAGCTGATAGAATAATTTAAAGTCACTTGAAAACAATCCCGACAATGCATCCCACTCATTGTACGCAGGACAAAAAAAAAGAAAAACAGAGAATTACCGTCCAATCCAACCCATTGAATTAAAAAAGAAAAAATAATTGCCCAGCTACTCGAGAAGCTTCTAGCAATGATTGAGCCCTTAACAACACAGAGATGGCATTGTGTTTGTTCTGTGACGTAGTTCCATCAATCATGTTTTTGGCACGCATGTCACCCGAGAGGGTATCAGATAGCGATATCTACCATCTTATTAGCTTGAGAGGGTCATCGGTGTGGTTAGAGACGTCAGAATTTAAAATAAAATGTGATCCACGTGGAAGCTTGTACCCATCCTCCAAATCATGGTGGTGGCTGTCTCTGTCGTTCTTTTAGATAATCTCAATCACGCATGAATTTTTAAAGATCCTGTAGTGTATTGTTATCGTTGTTGTTTGGTGGTGTTGACGATAAGGACTGAGACTGGATGGCATGGCATTATTGGGAGCTCACACTCACACTCACACTTGGTACGAACTCTGCTTATTTATCATTTAATTTGCTCCTAGAGATGCCGATGCAATCTTTAATGAATGCCTGGAACTCAAGCTCTTGACACTTAAATATCTATCATGTTGTAATGAATCTTTACACCGTGTACTTATGAAATGTTGGATACTGTCAAGGATAATAGTTTAATCCAAGTTCAATGAATATGATTTAAACCGATTCAAATGGACAAGTTCTTTATATATATATATATATATGTATGTCACAAGTTCTTTTTTTTTTTTATATATATATATATATATATAAGAGACAAGGGGGATTTGCATTTTAAGGGCTTTTATTTCTCAAGGATATAGATCCAAGTTGTTTACTGGACCCGCAGTTTGCTCCCCAGAAGCAGGCCCTCTGTGTGAGATCCATAACGGGAGTCACAAACTTTAAATATTTGATTGGGCTAACTAGCGGTTTTTTTGTAGCATTTTTGTTTGCAAGAAGAATAAATTGGATACATAGCTGATAAGGTGACGGTGGGGTGATGAAACCAGAATTAAGCGGTTTTTTTGTAGCATTTTTGTTTGCAAGAAGAATAAATTGGATACATAGCTGATAAGGTGACGGTGGGGTGATGAAACGCACATAACGGGAGTCACAAACTTTAAATATTTGATTGGGCTAACTAGCGGTTTTTTTGTAGCATTTTTGTTTGCAAGAAGAATAAATTGGATACATAGCTGATAAGGTGACGGTGGGGTGATGAAACCAGAATTAAGCGGTTTTTTTGTAGCATTTTTGTTTGCAAGAAGAATAAATTGGATACATAGCTGATAAGGTGACGGTGGGGTGATGAAACCAGAATTAAGACGATAGCGGCTGCACATAACGGGAGTCACAAACTTTAAATATTTGATTGGGCTAACTAGCGGTTTTTTTGTAGCATTTTTGTTTGCAAGAAGAATAAATTGGATACATAGCTGATAAGGTGACGGTGGGGTGATGAAACCAGAATTAAGCGGTTTTTTTGTAGCATTTTTGTTTGCAAGAAGAATAAATTGGATACATAGCTGATAAGGTGACGGTGGGGTGATGAAACCAGAATTAAGACGATAGCGGCTTGCAGTGGTACTGTATTTAAAGTAGTCGCCATTAATTAAAGAGAATGTATTGGTAAATCTCTATAAAATATGTACTTTGTTTCTTAAATACATAAAAACGATCTCATTTTCTTATTGATTGTAATTTTTTTTATTTAATGTATTTTTTTGAGACTGTTAAACATACCAACGTTTCCCATCAAAATAATTTTTAGAAATAAAGGCAACATATCGGTTAGTAAAAGGCTATCATAGGGTATCGTAAGGGATGACAAATTGATAACTACATCAGAGCAAAACAGTATAAACAGTGGCTTTGTTCGGAGTGATCAAATTATGTTTAAATGGTTATAATTCTAAGAGATAATATTTATGTGCATTTGTAATCTTATATATATAGACCGTACTTGTTCGTATTAATTAAAATTAAAATAACAAAAAATAATATCAATTTATTCAAATAAAAAGAAAAGAAAATAGTACTTGTAAAGAATAAATTTGTGTGCTCATATTTGCCATATCTTCAATTACACTACCATCAAATGCTGTCCTAAGATTTTCACACTAGTTCTAGATAAAGACTAACAAATTGAAAGGCTGCTTTCACCTAATAAGAAACATCCATGTCAACAAGATGGTTAAAAAAAATTCAATCATTTTGTTTTTTTGGGAAAAGAGAGGTTAGAACTCATAATCAGTGGGTTTCCAATTTAATAAAGTTGAATTGGAAGCCAGGGACAAACATAGAATCTTTCGTGTTCGTAAAATATATAAACAACTTCAGTATAACCCAGCAAATTTGGATCCTTCACATTCGGGGTCTGAATGATGCAATGAACTCAACTCAACTATAAATCTTAATCCTCCCAGAATGAGATTCTTGGATGACAAAATATTGCATTTTTCTACTGCGTCCTGCGCGCGTATTCTTAAGTTGTTTGCCGGAATATGCGACCATGCACTGATATTAAGTACGTGTTTTTAAATGTTTTTTTTTATTTTGGTATACTCTGACGACGCTATCATCATATGGGAGAATTCTGGCATAAAAAACACTAGAACATGTAATCCTATGTTCATATGAAATGATGTAGCTAGATATATAACCATCTGAAAAGGAGAAGACAGATGTGCACCCACAGACAGGTTTTGCTTCTCTTAAGAGTTTCCTGAAGAAGAGATACAATTACAGCAAACAACCGTGGAGTATTCACGTAATCACAAATACATGATGTTACCAGATCACAAATCATACACTTGCTTGCCTGTGAACTTGACCTCAATTGGGCTAACGTTCTTTCCGATTGACCTGAAATTTTGGCCCACACCTTGGCGCCCTGGGTTCACCTTCTCAGGGTAGACACCATCCTTAGGATGCAAGTACTGAACCTCTCCATTGGGGAACACCCTGTAAAACTGGTACTTGATCTTGTACTTGGACCGTAGCCTAGTCCCGAGAGCCAAGCACTGCTCCTTCCTGGCCAGCTTGAGCAAGTTTGGGCCTTCCCTCATGATGGCAGCACCCCCCGTCGGCATTTCAAAAATCTGTTCCTTGGGGGAGTCCCATGTAATCACATAAAACTCCTCCACCTGGGCTTTCCTCAGCAGCCCACCAGTGCTTCCACCAAAAATTGGTGATGGGGTACTTGGGTCCAACTCTGGAGGAGTAAAGCCCACCGGAGCCTCTTTGACAGCTGTTTCCTCTGCAGCAGCAACCTTCATGGTTCTTTGTGGCTTAACATTAGATATTGGTAAAAAAGATGATAGTTTCCATGGAGCAATAGCTTGGTTGCTTGATTTTAGGGCGGAGAGAGCTGTAGGAGTAAAGAGAGAGGCTTGAGTTGCCATGGCCACGAGGAATTGGAGATTCGAGGGTTTTGAGTGATATGGGTCTCTAGGAGGGTGCTGGTTCAATAAGATGGAGGAGAGAAGATTATTGACAGAGGTGTTCGCGGGATTTGTGATGGGTGGTGGGTGTGTGTGAGAGAGTTTGGATAAGGCGATATGGTCAGACCAATTAATTTCTTCACCTTTGATACGTGGTCTCACCAGCTTCTTGCCCACGCTCGCGCAGGGATTTGGATAAGACGTTTACGGCACAGACCAATTAAAATCCCTGGATCTGATACGTGGGGGTCACCAACACCCCTCTTCTTCGTTCCCTGCCTTAGCATATCTGTTTCCTGGTGATAATTGTTTATGCTGCAAAGACACACCACGCCGAAGTGCCTGCGTGCGTGCGTGGTGTTGTCTTCTTTCGGGGTAAAATTATACATGCATTACGATCCACAACTACTGTCAAATGTTGGCAGATTCTGTGTAAAACATGTATTGTAAGATTACATCTTCACATGCTGCAAAGAAAAAGAAAATAAAAAAGCGGTTTATATGATTAAAAAAAAAGGAAGAAGAAAAGGAAGAAGGTCATCGACGACCCACAACAAAAATTGCAAGGGAAAAAGAATGGACCGGAGACAATAGTGACGAATAGAAAATCCAAAGGCTCGAACAAAAACATGGGCCCTAAAATCAAAATGCACAATAAAAAAAATGGACCCAAAGGCCCGTTAACATTACATTAGGGAGGCAAAACTCCCAGCTTTGTCTTGGGGTGCACATTCTGTTTCGAGGAGAAATCTTCTGTGCTCAATACTGGACAGCTTGAATCTGGTGTTGTGAGAGAGAGCATCATTCGTTTCCTTTCAATTCTGCCAGAGCATGGCAATGCGGTCCCGTTCAATTCAAGAATGCCAAACTTTATATATATATATATAAATTTTAAATAATTAAAAAACAAATATAAATTAAAACATTTAATCTTAAAAAATAAAACACTTAGTTGACTTGGTTGGTTGTATTTGTTAAATTTATTTATTAAAATATTTTGTATTTAAATCAATAATAATATAAATATAAATATAAATTAAATTGATCAAATGAAATAAAATTGCATACATGTAACATATTATTCAAAAATGATTTTATTTTATATTAAAAAGATAAAAAATAATAATTTATAGATGAATGCATTACTAGAAAGGCACACCACACAATTCCTGCTATTTGTAGATACTTGCAGGTACACTTTACCTTCGACCCAAATAATCAACGAAAGAAAAACCTGAACGCAAAAAATATTATCTGACGACCTTTTTACTTGACCATCACACCATTTTTAAAACCTACTATCTACTGACTGCCTAAAAAAAAATACTAGTTTGATCCAATGAATTAGATTGACACACTGTTCGGAATGCCCTTGCCGGTGAGTCCACCCTCTCTGGAGTAATCTGTGGTGTTAGGAAAGAGTAAAGTGTAAGGAACTTGTACAGGCCCAACTCTGTTTTTCCATCTCTTGTCATTGTTCATATCCATAATTTTGTTTTCAATTTCTACCAGC